GGGAGGGGGGCGGACCGCGGGAAGCCAGCACCGCCGTCTATAAATAGCCCCTGCGCGCCGCAGCCGCTGCCGCCGCCCCCGCGGCTGGATCTGGGCCAGACCTAGGCCTCCCACCCCCTGGTGAGCTCCGGAGGGTGAGTGTGGAGGCCCCTGGCCTCTCTGGCCTGCAGAGGGCCTTGAGTGTGCCTAAGCCGTCCCAGTTCTGCTGCCTGCTACCCTCTGCCCACCCAGGGAGGATGGCTGTGCTTGCTGGGGCCTGCCTCCCCCCACCCCTCCCCACAGTCTGTCCCTGCTGAGTCCTTCTTGAACTGGGGCAGGGGTGCCTTCTCCTGGACACCCTCCCCTGCCTTCCTACCGCCAGGCCTTTGCCCAGGGGCCCTCACCCCTTTTTTGCCAATGAAGCACCCTATACCTCTGCTGTCTCCTCATCCTGAGCCCGGTAGGACACAGGGCATTGGAACCCCAGTGTGCCCTAACCTGCCCACTCTTCCCCCAGGATATCGACAAGCAGTACGTGGGCTTCGCCACACTGCCCAACCAGGTGCACCGCAAGTCCGTGAAGAAGGGCTTCGACTTCACACTCATGGTGGCAGGTGAGTGGACTGGGCTCCCAGGGAGTGGTTGGGGCACTGGCAGCCAGGCTCTGCAGTTGGGGTCTCAGACCTAATCCAACTCCTCTGTACCTGGGTACAGGTGAGTCAGGCCTGGGGAAGTCCACGCTGGTCCACAGCCTCTTCCTTACTGACTTGTACAAGGACCGAAAGTTGCTCAGTGCTGAGGGTGAGTGGCCCCTACACGGTCCCAGCACTGATCCCCCAACTCCTGCCATGGGGCCCCCTTCCAGGTCCAGGCCCACTGTTCTCTTCTCCCAGTGTGGGTCTCCTGGGAACAGGGCCCAGGCACCAGCATGGATGAGGACAAGTGTGCCAGCTGCTTGGGGCGGGGGTGAGGGCTGAAGAGGCCTCTCCCAACAGTGTTCTCCCCACCCCCACAGAACGCATCAACCAGACAGTGGAGATACTGAAGCACACAGTGGACATTGAGGAGAAGGGCGTCAAGCTCAAGCTCACTATTGTGGACACGCCAGGCTTCGGGGATGCCGTCAACAACTCTGAGTGGTGAGCCAGGCTGGCCCGGACAGCACCTGCCTGGCCAGCACAACTCCAAGCCTAGCTCACACTCCCTCCCCCCACAGCTGGAAGCCCATCACCGACTACGTAGACCAGCAGTTCGAGCAGTATTTTAGGGATGAGAGCGGCCTCAACCGCAAGAACATCCAAGACAACCGGGTGCACTGCTGCCTGTACTTCATCTCCCCCTTCGGGCATGGGTGCGTGTGTCCTGGACCCAGCTTGGGGCCTGTCCCTCATGGTGTAGCCCCATGGCTGAGCCTGCCCTCCCCACCCCGCTGCACCGCCCCCACCCCTCACCACACCCACCCCTCTCTACAGGCTGCGACCAGTGGATGTAGGCTTCATGAAGGCATTGCACGAGAAGGTGAACATCGTGCCTCTTATCGCCAAAGCCGACTGTCTGGTCCCCAGCGAGATCCGGAAGCTGAAGGAGCGGGTGAGCCTGCTCCAGCTGAAGGGCCTGGCCAGGGTGGCGCCAAGAGCACCCAGTAGACCTGGTCAGCTCCAAATCTGACACCCTTCGCCCCAATGCAGATCCGGGAGGAGATTGACAAGTTCGGGATCCATGTGTACCAGTTCCCCGAGTGTGACTCAGACGAGGATGAGGACTTCAAGCAGCAGGATCGGGAGCTGAAGGTGAACACGCAGCCCTCTGGGGGGAGGGGCACAAGGTGGTGAGGGGTAGAGAACGAGAGACCAGAGATCCTTGTCCCATCCACAGAGGCCTGGAGAAGGGCTGTACTCCCAGGTCTGACCTGATGGGGTAGAGGTCATTTGTTCTAAGAGTAGAGGACCTGTACTCCATTCCACTAGGGCTAGCGGGTGAGGGTCACCTGTGTCCCCAGCCTGGCCTGTGGTGGGTCCTGTGGGGCCCACAAAGAAGCTTAGTGGGTGGTGGAGCATTTGCCCCCTTAGTGGGTGGTGGAGCATTTGCCCCAGTCCAAAAGTACAGCTGCTGGCCAGACCCCCACCCTGACCACCATCCCACAAATCACCAGCAGCAGGACCAGCCCCAGTGCCCACAAGGCCGTGACATGTCCTGGCTCCCAGAATTATGTGCTGCAGGGGTTGGTGGCTTTGGGTGACCCAACAGCTAGAGTGGTGATGATGAAAACCATGCCAGGCGCAGGTGACCGCCATGGCAGAAGCAGCGGCATTAACCCCAGGAGACGTGGGTTCAGCCCTGGGGGGAGGAAGGGTGGCAGGGGGTGGTTCTTGGAAGGAAGTCAAGAGGAGAGTGGACCTGGGAGGGTACAGCCTGGCAAGCAGACAGGCCAGCAGGGGGCGACGCCAGGCTCTGTCTGGGATGAGGTGGTTGGCAGTGATGCTGTTGAGGGACAGCATTGCAGGCCTGGGCCCCTTCCCACTGCTAACCCCGCGTTTGCACTGGCGGGCACGAGCCCCTCCCCTTCCGCCCCCAGGAGAGTGCACCCTTCGCCGTCATAGGCAGCAACACAGTGGTGGAGGCCAAGGGGCAGCGGGTCCGGGGCCGACTGTACCCCTGGGGCATCGTGGAGGGTGAGTTCCAGCACAGACGCGGGGCGCAAGGGGAAAGGCTGTCTGGGGCCAGCACCCATTCTCCACAACCCTGCCCACCCCCACTCCCCACAGTGGAGAACCAGGCGCACTGCGACTTCGTGAAGCTGCGCAACATGCTCATCCGCACACACATGCATGACCTCAAGGATGTGACGTGCGACGTGCACTACGAGAACTACCGTGCTCAGTGCATCCAGCAGATGACCAGGTGCGCCGTCCCAGCCGGCCCTGCTGCGTCTGGGTGGCCCACCCAGACCTTAACCTCGCCCGGCAGCCAGCCCGGGGGGGGGCGAGGGCCCGGGGGCAGGACCCCGGCAGTGCTGGGGTGGGGCAGCTGTCCCCAGTACCCACGCCCAGCCTTCTTGCAGCGTTGCCCCCTTGTTCCCGCCCCCTGCAGCAAGCTGACCCAGGACAGCCGCATGGAGAGCCCCATCCCCATCCTGCCACTGCCAACCCCCGATGCCGAGACTGAGAAGCTCATCAGGATGAAGGATGAAGAAGTAAGTGGGGCAGCAGGGCCCGGGGGGGCAGGGGTGGTAGGGGTGGGCACGGCCAGCCTCTCTTGTCTCACCCACCCCCCCGTCCCCAGCTGAGGCGCATGCAGGAGATGCTGCAGAAGATGAAACAGCAGATGCAAGACCAGTGACCCCGCCCCAGCCCCGAGTGCCTGGGATGTGCTGCCTCTTTCCAGGATGGCCCCTCCCACCCCGGACCCCAGACGGGCCTGGACTAGACCCTGAACTCACATGGATCTTGCACTGGCCTGGACCCAACCCCAGACCCAGCGTGGCCCCGACCAGACTGCTCCCCACCCAAAGACGCGGGGCCACAGCCCCCAGTGGACCCTAATTTATTCTCATCATCAGTCCCTCCCAGGTCATTTATATCTGCTTCTGAGGGGCCCGGACAGTAGCCTCCTCCCGGTTGTCCCTCTCCGGCCTTGGGGAGCAGGAGCAGGAGCGAGCTACGTTGGGCCGGACTTCAGAGATCCACTCCCCCTGGTCCTTGAAGGTCACAGCACCCAGGCTCCGCCCCGCTCTGGGAGGCGGGTAAACCAAGGCAGGAGAAGGAAACATTCCCAGGGTGCTGGGCCTGTCCCCCCAACCCAGAGCCACAGAGCAGACTTGGGAGCCCCTCTATGCCTGCTCCCCTGGGCCGCCCAGCTGTGCTGAGACCCCAATTTTGTGCAGAGGTGGGCAGGGGCCTCCCTTACGCCTCACTCAGGCACCCAAGCCCAACAGGCAGGGGCGGGCGGGCGACTGGGGCAAATGGGACCCCCCCAGGCGTCAGGAGGTGGGAGGCCTCTGGCGAGGAGGGCAGGGCAGGACACCCTTGACCACCACGCCCCTTCGTCACAGCCCGGCCAACCCGGAGGCCCCCCCGGGGCAGTGAACGAGGCCACCCTCGGCCACTCCGAGCCGTTCCCTCGGTAGCTCGAGGTCCCCTCTCCCCAGCAGCACTGTTGCGCGGTCCCGGGCCCTTGGCCTCCCTCCCTCTCCACCCGCATGCCTCCCTCCCCTCCACCCTCTGCTCCGTTTTGTTCAGTTGTGAATGCCGCCTCCTGTCCTGGTGACAGGAAAACAATGTTGGTGAACGTCGCAGCGGGTGTCCGAGTGCTCCGTGCGTGCGCCCCAGAGAGCGGGTGGGAGCGGAAGCCCGGCCGTCCGCGGGCACCGGCGATAGGCGCTATCTGCGGGCGCACGCCGCTCCACGCGGCCTCGGGGCTATTTCTGGCTGGGCGGCAGAGCTGTGGTCGGTGCGGCCGGCGTGTCAGGCCGGCGGGGGCGGGGCAGGGCGACCTTATCGCCCGGCTCTCGGCTGATGCCTCCCGCTCCAGAGCAAACCGGGCCGCCGTCCTCTCGCCATGGGATTTGGTGAGTCTAGGGTCCGGTCGTTCCCTGGCCCCTTCCTGAACAGACCCAGGTTGGGAGGCGCTCCGCTTGTGTGCGCGGCAGTAGGGAGAGACTTGGGTCAGACTTAAAGGGGACTTTCAGCCGGTGCGGAGGACGGGGAAGACGGGATGGAGAGTCTTGTGGTCTAGGGGGACCGCGGGCCTCCGGAGCTGGAGGGAGCCGGCCTGGCTCTCTGGGAGCCCCGAGGGGCGCCCAGTGTCCC